AATTTGGGGATAGCTTGGAGCACCGGCCGCAGGCGCTCGGGTGTGATCCGGCTGCGCAGGGCTGCTTTGCTTTGGGGCCTTTGGTGTCTGTCCTCGGCTGCGGGGAGGCCGCTCTGACTCGGCGTGCCCTGCTCGCAGCCTGGCCCTTCCTGCTGCACGGCTGGTCTCTCCGGCATCGGAGAGGTCTCTGCATGGGGACAGAGCTTTCCTTCTGGGGTGGGAGGTCGCCTGTTTGCCACACAGAAGTCCCTTGTCCTGGTTTCTCCGCGCAGACACTGTTATTACTCTTTTATGGCTTTGAGGTTCTGAGTCATGGGCGAGATCCCCTCCTCTGATGTTAGCTGGGCAGTGGCACGAACGCCAAGCTGCGGTGTAGCACCTGGCCGAGGGCAAGGTGGACGCTGCAGGGCTCAGCTCTGTGCTGGCCGGGAACTTGCCCCACACGGCAGCTGTGGCTCAGGGACCCAGGGCTGGGTGGGAGGCGGGGCTGTCTGCCCACACTCGGCCTCCAGGGAGCCCCTGCCCACTGGGGCAGAGCTGACAGCACACCTGGCGCGTTCGCCGCAGGTCTGGTCCCTAACGGGGTGTGGCTCTGGGCTCCCCGCCTGTGTAGACACCAGAGATTTGACATGCCCCCCGGTCTGAGTCCCTCGTGCTCACTCTGTTTTCAAATGGAGCCAGCAATGGGGGACTTGATGAAGGGCAGCACAGACGACGCCGAGGCTCCCGGTGGCCCGAACCAGTGAGTGAGGGCCTCCTGGGATGGACGGGCCGGCCACTGTGAGAGGCCTCAGTCTAGACCAGCGAGGTGGTCTGTGGGCAGGTGGGAGGTCTGCGGCCTGAGCTCAGCAGGAGGATCTGCCCAGGAGCTCAGGGCCACCAGGGCAGCTGGGAGGACACTGTGGTTCTCACCTGCTGACCAGGCCCTCAGCCTCTGCAGGGTGGTGGCAGCTGGCCCGAGCAGCTATGGTCTGGGTGATGGGACTCAGGGCCTTGGGGCCACCCTTGCTCCCACGGGGTTCCAGGCTCACACGCCTCACCCCCACGGTGCCCTCCTGCTTCCACGCGAAGGGGTGTAAGCTCGCTTTGCAACCTTACCATTCGTGGCACCTGCGTACCAGGGAGGTGCCCTGGGGCCAGGCAGGGCCGCTTTGCCCACTTTCCCCTGGGCCCGGGTGTCCTGGTCTCTGCTGGCCTGGCAGGAGCACCCTGGGGGAGGGTTACAGATCATGCAGCCCTCCCCTCCCCGGGCTGGCTTACGCAGCATGTCTTGCTTGATTTCAACGTGCACCGCCAGCTCCTGAAGGTGCTCGGATATGCGAAGGGCCAAGATGAGGGCAGAGCACATGGCCTTGGCACCCCGGAAGTGTCACCTGTGGCCACGCAGGCTCTAGACCAGGGACAGAGGGCGAGGCATGCTGGAACCCTGCTATTTGGGCAGGAGACCTTGGGTTTGGCCCTGAGCCTGGAGAGATGGGCACCTGGGTGGGTTGTCAGGAGACAGAGGGGACAGGGATAGACAGTAGCTGAGTGGCCTTGAGGGCTGTGTCCCCGCAGCTGGGGTCCCCGAGTAGCCGCTGGCTGCTATGTGGAGGCAGGAGACCAGGGGAAGCGTGTGACGACCCGGTGGTGTGTGCAGGCAGCCGCGGTGGGATGCAGGACAGGTCAGGGAGAGTGCTAGGCAGGGCACCTCCAGGACACGATGGATGCAGGCCTGCCTGGGGGAGGAACAGGGTGACCTGGGGCTGTCCTGGGTAGGGTGGGCTCGAGAGGGTCACCTGGGGAGGGACATCATGGGGAGCAGGGAGGCCGAGCCAAGCCCTCAGCGTAGGGATGGAGAGGCTCTGGGTGGGCCCCGCCTCTCCCGGCGGGAGCTCCAGAACTCCCAGGCTACTCCACAGATGCTCCACTGCATGGCGGCCCCTTCCCTGGCACTGCAGTGTCCAGCCGGGGCACTCATGGTGGGTGGGAGGCTTGGAGGTGGTGGGGTGAGGGATGTGGTCCTGTGCCCTGTCCACCTACCCTTCCCACCTCCTCTCTGCTCTTCCAGGTGGCACGAGTGGCAGGCTGCTCTCTGGAGCAGGGCCCACGCCCTCGGTCCTTCCCTGGACAGGTGCCTCTGGGCCGAGGCTTCAGGCCCGCTCCACAGCAGGCAGCAGGACTTCTGCTTCAGAAACAGATGAGATAGGGAGGAATGAAGGGCTGGCGGCCGAGAGCTGAGTCGGCGATGACCCGTCAGCCAGCGGCTGCGTGGTGAGCAGATGGGTGGGGGAACAGGGAGGGCAGGTGCCAGAGGCAGCACCGAGGCTCTTGGCTAAGGCCCACCTCCTGCGGCTCCCTGTTTTGAAGGAAGGGTTGGGGTCTCTGTTCCAATTCCCCCATGTCCTCTGCTCCGAGGACCTGAGCACTTGTGGCTGGGACGTCGGACTCCCAAGGAGCTCGTCCACTGGGGCCTGGCTGGGAAGGAGTTAAGGGTTATAGAGAAGTCGAAGCATTACCATGCTACCCTGTCTGCAGGGAGCCCCCCCTGGGGCTGCTGTTCCAGCCAAGGTTTCCTTCCGCTTCCACTCTGAGCATTGAACAGGCCAAGGAGAGGCCTCAGCGGCAACAGCTGAGGTTATGCCCCAGCAAGGGTAGAGCTTTGGGGCTTCACCCCGCCTCTGCCTCAGGCCTGTGGCCTCCGAGTGGTCGAGTAGCCAGCTCGCTGTGTGCTGGGCCAGGGGTTCTTCCCTGGGCTGGCTGCTGCTGGGCTCGCTTTACCCCTAGAAGGGGTGGTCTGAGCTTCTCCATGATGGTGGGGCCTCCCTGCAGCTGCCGCCTGCCCACCTCCGAGGCTTAGCAGCTTTCCAGCAACACAGAAGAGCTTCCTTAAGGGACTCCAGGGAGCCCCATTACAACCTTGGTGTTTACCACAAATTGCCAAAGTCTTCAGTGAAAGAAGGGACATTCTGGGACTCGGCACAGGGTGTGTCTGCTGGTCGTGAGCGTCAGGGACTCAGCATGGGGCGCGTCTGCTGGTCGTCACCGTCAGGGACTCAGCACGGGGCGCGTCTGCTGGTCGTGAGCGTCAGGGACTCAGCACGGGGTGCGTCTGCTGGTCGTGAGCGTCCGGGACTCAGCACGTGTGTGTGCGTGCCCTAGGTCCTGAGAGGAGAATGGAGGAGAAGGGATTGCGGCGTGACCATCCCCCCTGGGGAGTGATTTCTCACTTTCTGTCTCTCTGTCTCTCTCTGTCTGTCTGGCGAGCGCACACTCTATAGCAAAAACCTCTCCAAAAAAGAAAGAAAAGAAAAGAAAACGGGGGCTGGCAGGGGCACCAGGGCCGAAGGGGTCACGTGTGTGGGTCAGTCTTCAGGGGAAGGGGGAAGAACGTGGGCAGAATGCCACAGGGAGGAAGGCAGAAACATGCACACGTGAAGAGCATGAAGCTCTGCAGGTGTGCTGCGAGGGACTGAGAGCTGAGCTTCCAGGCAGCCGAGGAGAAAAGATGAGCACTTGGCAGCGCACAGAAGCAAACACAGGCTTCGTAGCTGAGAAGCAGAGACACAGTCGGCACGCCCACCTGCGCACGGTCCGTGAGCTGTCCTCCCGCGGGTGTGACGCCGGCTGGCATTCTTTCTGTTCGGTGCTGCCCTTGGAGCACCCTTCCTCTGCCATGGAGTTCGGGACGCAGGAGTCTTCACCCTGGGTGGAGGCTCACTGTCCCGCACTGGCCTGCACCAGGCGTGGCCAGGTCTGGCTGGTGCCCAGCTGTGGCTGCAGTGACCGGGAGAGACCCTGCCTCTCCACTCGGAGCAGCCCAGGGAGGGCAGGAAGTGCCTGACACTCGCTGTTGCCCCTCTGCGGACAGAAAGGGATGCAGGAGGGGAGGCTCGGCTGGGGCTGGGGCAGGAAGTGGCGGGTTCTTGGCCCTTTGGGAATCGGAGACATCTTTGGAACCAGGCTGGAGATCCCTGCCCTGCCCTGTGACCAGGCAGAGCCTAAGTTGCACTTGAGATGCTAGAGCCGGGAATAGGCCTGGACCATGACCGCAAAGCCCCAGGGGCGCCAGCCCAGGGGAGGGTAGGCCAGGGGGTTCTGGGCTCAGTTCCTGTTGGCAGGTTCTGGGCTGGAGGATCTGGAATGACCCGGAGTGAGCAGAGAAACTCCGGACAGGGAGGGCTCCACCCCTTCATCCCAGGATTTCGAAGTGCCCTGACCTCAGCCAGGAAGAAATGCCTTAAACCCACACCCACGATCCCCACACGGACAGACATGGGGAGCCACCTCCCTGACAGACAGACGTGGGCCGTACTGGCACGGGCACCCGCTGGGCCCTGCTCTGGATTGGCATGACGGGGAGGGAAGGACCCACCAAGGGTCCTTTCTGGGTGTGGTGCTGTGCAGGGCGCTGCACTGAAGAGCCATCCCTTGAGAGGCGTCGGGGAGCCTCACCGCCGTTCCAGATCAGGGTGCCCAGGACCGCCGTGGGAGACAGCGGGCAGCCCTTAGACGTCCTAGGCAAGCCGAGGCCATTGCTACTATCTGGGCAGCTGCAGCAGCTGTTCCTGGCCCCGTGCCTCCAGGACGCTGATCCGAGCGCTGCCTGCGGTGAGCAGTGTGCTGTCCTGCCCAGCTGGAGGCCAAGACTCGGCCGTGTGTGCTGAGCCACGTGCGTTTGGGCCTCCTTGACCGCCCAGCAGAGGCAGGACAGTGACCTGGATGGCTTACCCGAGGGCCTGGCACTCAGGGGCAAGGCTGGGGGCCATAGGGGTACACGGAGGGACCGTGGGGGTACACGGAGGGGCCCTGGGGGGTACACGGAGGGGCCATGGGGGTACACGGAGGGGCCGTGGGGGTACACGGAGGGGCCGTGGGGGTACATGGAGGGGCTCTGGCTAACCAGAGAGAGGGGCCACGTCAGTCCTCACTGGCATCTGCACCGGGGCTGCTGCACGCCCCCTGCCCCTGGACTCCCTGCTCAGTGAGCCTCAGCCATGCAGCACACCCGCCACTGCTGTCTGCCTGCGTTTATTGCTGCACGTCCCTGAGGGCCTGTGGGGTGCCTCGGCTGGCCTCCTCGTGGGTTGTGGGGCCCCTAGTCCCATCTGGCTGGCACAGCGGGGACGGCGCTGTCAGCTCTGCCAGACACGGCCCTCCGTGGGCAGGCTACGGCAGTAAGCTGGAACAGAAGCACACAGTCAGGCCCTGCCCGCCTCGACCCTGGGCCATAGGACAGTGCGGCTGGGCCTTCGCCCAGACTCCTGAAAGTCAGGAGGGAAGGGTCTGGGCCTCCCCACCTTAGGGACTGTCACCTCACAGGGTCCCATCACCCAGTCCAGGGATGGGGGCTCAGGGGAGGGTGTGGGCCTCCAGGGCCAAGGAGATGGGGTGCTGCAGGGAGGGGCCCTCACAGCTGGGCGGGGAGCAGGCAGAGGCCTAGGCCGAGCGGCAGCCCCCAGGGCAGGGCCCGGGCAGATGCGCTGGCGATGGTCCCCACGTTGCACAGGCTCTGGGAGCAGCAGGAGGCCTGGGCACTGGCGATGTCCTGGGATGGGATGTCTGTCCAGTCGGTGGGTGTCTGGATGACGCAGCTCCTGGCGCAGCCCTTGGTAATGTCCACCACCCTCTCAGACCCTGCGGGGAGGGGGGTGCTTGGTAATGTCCACCACCATCTCGGACCCTGCGGGGGAGGGGTGCTCAGCCCTTGGTAATTACCACCACCGGCTCAGACCCTGCGGGGTGGGGCGTGTGTGTGTGTGTGTGTGTGTGTGTGTGTGTGCTCAGAACAGCGCTGCCTGGGAGCGGGCAGTGAGCTTTCCCTGGGGGCATAGGATGGAGGGCACTGAGGCCCCATGGGTGCACGGTGGTCACCTTGGCCATGGACACCCCCACACGGGCTGTCTTGGAGCCTGGTCAGCCTGGGTCACCACACAGCCTGCAGGAGCTGGGGTGGACAGGGCTCAGGGCAGGTGTTTTCCAGGGCGCCCACTCAGGGTGCCCGGCTCAGGCTTTGCCAGCTGCAGGCATGGCAGAGGCGCTGCGACAGAGCCCTGAGCCTGTTGACAGGCCTGCGACAGCCCACCGGGGACAAGCAAAGCAGCGGACAGCCCGATATAAAGGTTTGCCGCCGGCACTGTGTCTGCAGCCCCAGGATGAAGGATGTCTTCCAGCTGCCGAAGGCCGGAGGTGGCGCCGTCTCTCCGGCTCCCCCAGATCCCAAGGCTGAGAAGCCACTGTGGCCTCCCCAGTGCCCACCGAGGTGGGGGCTCTGCCACTGAGCCTGGCCTGGAGGAGGAACTGGAAGACCCAGCTTAGCGTCATCAGCCTCATGCCCACTCCCACCACTTGGTGCCATCCGGCCAGCCTGGTGGGAAAGGACAGCCCAGCGCCAAGAGCCAGGCTGGAAGGCGGGCCAGGGAGGGAGGGAGTGCTCCCACGGCGGGCCGGGGTGGGAGGAAAGACACCACCATCACCCTCCGAACTGCCCTGTGGGTCAAGAGACTCAGGCCGAGGCCCTCAGCCCGCGGATTTGGAGGGGCTGAGTTTCGGCCGGGGGGTCTGCGGGTCCACTGTGTCCACACGAGCCTCCCTGTCCGCACAGCCAGCCAAGTGTGCACACAGCCAGGGGAGCGAGCACCAGGGGCGGCCCCGCCGGCCTCGATTTCTGAATGCACGCAGCAGCCTGGCCCGCTGGGGCTTGCGAGAGTGAATAACGAGTCCCCGCACCTGCACCTGCCGGCCTCGCCAAGCCTCAGCAACCACGGGGCCCGGGCCACCTCCACTGCACATGTGCCCGTCCGAGACGCCGGAGGTGCCCCTGGAGCTAGAGAGCGAGGGGCTGCGTGTCACCGGGTCTCCGTGGGGTCAAAATGGAACCATCGAAATTGTCTATTTGAGCCCCCAAAGGGAGGCATCTCGGCTCTCTGAAGGCCTCCAGGCCGGAGCCCCCACCCTCCACTCCTGCCACGTCCCAGAGCGCCCCTTTCCACGAGGCCACCCAGCGGTGAGTTCTCTCACACGGCTCACGCTCCTCTGCTCACACAGAGTGTGTGTCCAGGTTGGGACTAGGGGAGCAGAAAGGGGCCCTGGGAGCCACAGGCCTGGAGGCCCACTGGGGCCTCTGCAGGGCCTGAGCAGGCTGGCCCGCCCCGGCAGGACTCACCCACGGTGATGACCGCCTGCTGAGAGAAGCACAAGACCTCGTCCGCTTGGCAGGACACCAGCTCGCAGTCCTCGCCACGGCTCACATGGGCACACTTGTAGCACTGCAGGCTGTGCTCTGGGGCAGGGCAGGCGGGCAGAGCTGTGGGTCAAAGAGCTCTGGGCCCGCCCGGCTGCTACCCTGGAAGATGCAGGTGGCCGCAGGGTCACAGCACCCCAAAGACACCCCCAATCGTGCCTGTGGGCAGACATTGCAACACCCCCCCCCCCCCACCAGGGCCCAGGACAGAGCACAGGGCCGGGCACGC